GATTGAACATTTATCATTGTAATCACTACCACCATTTGTTGGCGATACACTCAACAAATGGCTGGTGTGTAAACGTCAAACGCAAGGGAATTGATTATGCGCGCCACAAGTGGCGGTACTACCAACTAAGAAACATTTAAATTTACCGTTAAAAGCGATTTCGATGCACATTTTGAGAGTGTTACGTCTGCTTATATGCTATCATATCTTCACTATCGCAACTTCGATGCATCCGCGAAAGTACTTGCATTTTTCTCAGGCACGTTTGATCTAACTGCAACCACTCTCTCATACTCGAAATTGATCTAACTGCAACCACTCTCTCATACCGCACAAAGTAGGAGAGCGAATAGGGACAAACACACAGAAACAGAAATAAAACGAATTTTGTACAAATGTAAATAAACCGTAAAGCTTGGTTTAGACTAGGCAAGTCAAATGATCAACTCAGTTGAATTCAATTGGCTTGAAAAGTTGAGCATGGTTCAACTTTTTTCAATTCAAGTGAGTTGATCAAGTCAGTTGAATGGCATGGTTTACACGTTCAATTCGCGTTCAAGTCAGTTGAATTCAACTGACTTGCTCAATTAACTTGCCCTGTCGAAACTCACCTTAAGAGCCACTCAATATATCGTCGTTCATATTATAAATAAATCTGCACGCAAACCAAAAATCTATTACAATGAATGTTAGTTCCGTTTCCTATCATCCTCTGTTCATGAACATCGCAGCGAATGTTAGAAGTTGGCCTTACAGGCGATGTAATGGTTTTTTGTCTTTTTCATTTCGTGTTCTATCTACGCTTTCGACTATACCAGTAAGCACATTGTAGAACATTGTAGAACGACGCACACACTTGCCTCGAATCTCTCCAGCAGAAAAAGCATACGAAGTCGAGTATGCGAGAAAATGAGCGCTTCATGTTTGCTTTTAGGCTACCCATATTCAGAAGCATGGAGAGAGCAGTGGAGAAAGCACAGGTCTGATAATCGCAACGTTCGTGGTTCGAGTCCAGTCCGGCAATCTGATTCCTATTTTTTTTCGACATAACTAATTTACCTCACTAATACACTCTACATTTTTCGGTCTCCAATTTTCTTGCATTGGACCGCAGCTAGGTATATCGCATCCTCGGTTCATGCGGTCTCCACTAACATCCTCTGATGATGAATCCCACATAATTGTAAGCGAATCTTACATCCCCCGGTTGGGTGTAGAAATCATCGATAGAAGTCATTGTTTACAAAAGCTGTTAGGCCCTAATTCCAGCTCTATCTAGAAATCTCTCTAGCTTTAATTTTTTGAATGTGTTTGACATCACTCCGCGTTCGTGTTAGTTTTCGTTGCCCGTCCTCTTGTTGAGTTTGAATGGTGGGAAGTACATTCCACTACCAGATTAGGGAGACGTATAGCGGCAGGTGACGGGACTGGCCGATGATGAGAAGTTCTCTCTCGTAGAGTTTTAGGGTATGCGTGAGCTCTACCCTTTCTCTGAGTGACTTTCTTGAATGTGAATTCATGGGGATTAAGCTGGTTTTAGATTAGGCAAGCCAAATGATCAACTCAGTTGAATTCAATTGGCTTGAAAAGTTGAGCCTGGTTCAACTTTTTTCAATTCAAGTGAGTTGATCAAGTCAGTTGAATGGCATGGTTTACACGTTCAATTCGCGTTCAAGTCAGTTGAATTCAACTGACTTGATCAATTGACTTGCCCTGTCTAAACCCACCTTAATAGGGAATTCCCGTTGGGTCGTTTAGTTGGAAGCTGTCTGGAACGATGCGTAAATCCTTTCTAGGAATCAATGGAATCGCCCTTAGGAGAGTCTCATCCGGGCAATTTAACTTGTGGAGTGGCGCTTAAGCCACGCGTATTTAAGCTGGATCGTCCGGGCTAGCTTCAAGCTCTAGGATCAGTTTCATGTATTCTCCTCTTTTAGGGATGATTTGGACCCTCTGGATGGCCATTTCGTGGATCCAAGGGTCAATTTCCCAATCACAACTCTGAATTCATATTGATAAGATGTCAATGAATAGTTTGAAAAAACCGTGGAGCTATAGGATCAGTTTCATGAATTTACCACTTTAACGGATGTTCCGGATTTTGCGGTGAACCATCGCGTGGTCTTCAGGGTCTATATTCCGTTTACAACTTCGAATTCATTCTGATATTGGTTTCGAAAAATACGCGAAGCTTTAGGATCAGCTTCATGTATTAACCACTTTTACGGATGTTCCGGATCTTCTAGTGGACCATCCCGTAGTCCCCAATGTCCATATTCAGGTCACAACCCCAAATCCATTCTGATAAAGTATTTTTGAGTGGTTACAAAAAAACGTGGAGCACGAGGATCAGTTTAATGAAGTGGCCACTTTCACGGACGTTCCGAATCTTTTAGAGGACTATCCCGTAGTCCACAGCATCCATATTCCGATCACAAATGCGAATTTATTCTGATAAAACGTTAATAAGTGGTTTTGAAAAAAAAAACATGGTGCTCTAGTATCAGTTTCATTAATTGACTACTTTTACGGATGTTCCGGATCTTCCAGTGAACCATCCCGTAGTCACCAGCGTCCAAATTCCGATCAAAATTTTGAAAAAACCACGGAGCTACAGGATCAGTTTCATGAATTTACCACTTTTTCGGATGTTCAAGATCTTCTAATAGACCATCCCGTAGTCCTAACCGTCCATATTCCGATCACAACTCCAAATTTTCATGAATTGACCACTTTTACAGTTTCATGAATTGACTACTTTTACAAATATTCCGGATCTTCCGATGAACCATGCCGTGGTTCGCAGGGTTCATTTTCCGGTCACAACTCCGAATTAATTGTGATAATACGTCTATGAGTGGTTTAGAAAAATCTACGTAGCTCTAGGATCAGTTTTATTATTTGACCATGTTCCGGGTCTTCCGGAGGACCAGACTTCTGACTTTCCGGATGCAAAATTGTCCCAAAAGGAGGTCATCTATCTTTTCAATAATTTTTCAGAAAACATCAGGAAGTTATCTCTCCAAATTACCCTACAGTAAATGTTTGTCCCCAAATAGCTCTTATCCTACACCAAACCGAGGGAGGGAAGATTCGCTTACAATTATGTGGGATTCACCAGTGATAATTTTAATTTCAGTTTATGATGTTGGTTCGTTTGCAACTATTTTTCAAAAAAATTAAGTTTTTTCGATCGAAAGTGTTCCAAAAGTGCTTTTGAACGTGTTTCGCGGTTGGGTGTGATGAAATTCGTGCATTCCCGGTTGATTTTCAGTGGAAATTCCGTATCAGAAAATTGCCCATCGATTCCTTTTTTTGCCGCTCGACGACGACGGGTGGGCTTTCGCGAGAGTGACGTTTATTGGATCCGTTTCTTTGAACAGCTGTGTCTTTTTGTAACCAGTGGTTGTAAGTGTGCCTACGAATTGCATTGCCTCCTGGGTGGCCGGTTCATCGTATTCGGATGTCACGCTTTCATCGTATAGATCTATCGAGAGTCTTTCAGAGACGATAGTTTTTGTTTAACTGCAGAAGGATATAAATCGTCCTCTAATCGATGGGAACTCTTCGAAATCGCCGTGAAGTCATGGATTCTTTTGCAACATATCGGGTGAGATCTTTCCTTTATTGTTATCTTAACATTCATTCCATTATTATATGACACATTATATGCTGGGTGTTCGCGCACGAGAAGAACGTTTTGTGTGATTTTCTTTAATTTATTCTTTTTAGTGCTGATTAGATTGATCCCCGTTTTCCGCCTCATATTATTCGTCAAAGTCCCATCCATTAACCCCGAGTCGACACTGGTTATGGGACGGTCCAACCAAGGCACCCGATTGAAGCGATTTGGATGGGGAGAGTGGAATTGCCAACTTCTTGTCGTTAACAGATCGTGAATTGAAGGCGGGCTCTTCTTCCCCACTCATTAGGACATCCCCTAGTGCGATGGCTTGTACATTACCGGGTTTTATAGTTGGAAGGAGATTTTCTTTGATCCCGCGGACTAAGCGTAAGTGCCTCTGCTTACAGTTTCGCCCTCCGTTTTTGGCCCTTCATACAATGGTAAATTGAATACAATCAGGTGTTGTACTTGATCAAGTCGTACGAGGTGGACAGTCCACTGTCTAATGGTTGTGCCTGCAACAATGAGTGGTTTCCTTTACATACATACATACATACATACATACATATACTACGTGTATTCGTTATTGCCGGTTCCTTTTGTGCGGTCCCTATTAACCGTACTATAGCAATCTTGACTGTATATGCATTTAGATTAACTTCCGAAGTCCCTCCAGGGTTTCCCGCCATTTTTTATGAATTGGGTGGGGCAGAAAGTATATTTTGTGCAGAATATATAAAAAAGGAGGGACTTCGGATTATAATCTAAATGCATATATAGAGGCACCAGACATCATTCGCTGCCAGACTGCTGAGCAGTACAGTCGACGTTTTTACTCTCGCTCTCTCCGTTCGTTCGATTGCGTTGTTCCGTTTTTTCTCGCGTTGAATAGTGACGCTTACGCTAACCCAGCCATGGGTAAAAAATCGCACGGTGGCGCGAGTGCCGGCAATCCCGGGGAATGGTCTAGGCTTGAAGACAACAGTGACAGTGCGACAGCCACGAAGAAGCTGCTCGACAACAATCGGTTCTCCGTTCTGAAGGACGGTGCAGAACCGGTGACGGAAACAACAAGACCGCCGAAGAAGGGCAGAATGCCGCCCTTCTAAGTGAAGGGCTTCCCTCCCGGATTGCTTCTTCATCACGCAGGGCGTCCGGTACACCATCCAGCTGTGCACGGAAGGATACAAACTGATGGTTCTGGCATTGAAATATTACAAGGCGGTAAAGACCATACTGGACCAATCACAGGTGACATGACATCGAGGTTGTTAGGTTGTTCAAGGTGGTCCTGTGCGGACTATACGACATGGACACAGGCGTCCTCTTGGAAGAGCTGGTGGCTAATTGACTGAAACCGGTCCAAATTCACAAGATGGCCCGCCACAACAAGGCCGTCAAGTACCGTGACCAACTATACCTGGTTCACCTTGAGAAGAACTCAACAACTTTTATGGACCTCCAGGACATCCGCGTCCTATTCAACATATTGGTGAAGTGGGAGCGGTACAAGCCGGTCAGTCATGGAGTCACCCAATGCTCGAACTGCCTGCTGTTCGGGCATGGAACGAAGAATTGCAATATGGTCAGCCGCTGCATCAAGTGTGGCAAATAACACAAAACCGACGCCTGCGACAGACTCGATGAAGCCAATCCCATTTGCGCCAACTGCGGTGCGGATCACAAAGCTACAAGCAAGGCCTGCCCGAAGCGCACCGAGTACTTCGAGATCCGGAAGAAAGCATCGACGAGGAACCAGCCTGGCCGCAAGAAAGTGCCGGAAATTAATGACCAGAACTTCCCACCGATACCTCGACGACCGATTACAGTGCTGCCACCGCTGACTCGAGTGACAAACATTCTCAGACGGAACAAGTCTGTTTCGAAAACATCTGCCATGGCCTTGTTGGACGTTGAAAAGCGTTTGACAATGACTGCCAAGATGGCCTGATGTTCAAATTGCAGCAGTACGGTCTTCCAATCTTCCTAGTGAAGATAATAAACAACTATCTATCGGATAGGACGTTCCGAGTCTCTCTGAATGCCATCACATCGGATGCTTTCAACATCGGTGCCGGGGTTCCACAAGGAAGCATCCTTGGCCCCATTCTATTCAACCTGTTCACCTCCGATATGCCGGCTCTCCCTGATGGTGGATCGTTGTCTCTGTTCGCAGATGACACATCCATCGTCTACAATGGTAGGGTCATCGGAGCTCTGACTGCCAAACTTCAGCGAGGCCTGGACGTCATGTCTGAATATTTCAACAGCTGGAAGATCCGTATCAACGCGGCAAAGACCCAGGTCATCATCTTTCCTCCCTCTTAATCTCCCAGATTTCAGTTCCGTTGGAGAATAACAAGATCTGCCTGAACGGCACAGTGGTGAAATGGTCCGAAGAGGTCGTGTACCTCGGGTTAACACTTTTCAGGGAGCACGTTGACAAAACCAAAACCAAGTACAACATCTTGATAAGATCGTTGTATCCACTTATCAACAGGAGGTCTACCCTGTCTCTGAAAAATAAGCTTGCTGTCTACAAACAAATCATCATTCCCGTATTTGAATACGGGATGCCAATCTGGGAGAGTTGCGCCAAATGCCATCACCTCAAACTCCAAAGGATCCAAAACAAGATCCTTAGGATGATCCTTAACAGTCCCCACGGACTAGAATTTCTGAGGTCCACCGCCTGGCTGGTCTTAAGACTCTGGAGTTTCGGAGAGCTGACTTCATCGCAAGGTTCAGAGATTGTAGGCGATCCGATCAACAGATCGTCTGGCACGTTAGGTTAAGTTAGGTTAAGTAGGTAGAATAACAAATTAAAACATTCAAACAACATACTTCACAAGAAGAAAATTGAAAAAAACATTACACAGTAAAAAACAACATGTACAACACAAAATCAAAAAGTTCACCAAAGATGAAGAGCCCTTCTGGCTTACCTCTTGCCCTGTATTAGCAATTGTAAACCACATAACAAATCAAAATAAAGAAGAATTTTACTACTACTTTTGCTGTGTCAGGTACCCTATTTTGTAGTATGTGCGAGGGAAATCACAAATAGAATGTCTCCAAAATACATGGCATGTTGAGAGATTGAGCTCGTGAGAGCGAATTTTCTCTCTCAAATTTGATTTTTTTGGCTCACTGGTAGTAAAGCGGGTAAAACTGTATGGATTTTTTTTTATTTAATTGTAGCTTGTTCAACAATAATTTTCGGGAAAGAAGTGAACGTCAAAGTCCATGAATGAATTCTTTAGGCTGTCGTTTATTTATTGACCTGAATATGCATTGAAAGCGACTCATTCTCACTTCTCTCAATTTCTATGTAGGGATTTTTATTACTTTCTACGAGATATAAATGAAAGTTATCCTAAACCAAAACAAATGTCAAGTATTTGTTATTATTTCATGATACGATCGCCCCATATCGAATGTTGTTGATGACCCCCATCGCAGCATCTACTCGTGTTCATCGAATCAAGGTGTGAAAAATATTGACGCTCTATTGACGAGATTGCAATCGAAAAAGAAACCGCAACTCTAATTATTCGCTATTTTGCATTCGTTTCGTCACACTTTTCCATTTCCGTCGTCGTCCCACTCGTCGTCTCATTCTACTTCACCGCAGGAAGGTGTGAAATATCGACTGAGAGCGACAAAACATATTTGTCACAAGACCTTGCCCCATTGTTACGTATTTTTACAACACTGGTTCAGTGTCCCCCCGTCGTGCGCTTGGAAACAGCGATCTAAAAAATTTCCTCTCTTTCTTCCACCTCTCCCCCGTAGGTCTACGTGGCTCTATTCAAACCCCTCCGGGTGTCGCGTCATCAGTTCAAGAAGGTGCTCAACTGCATGAAGCTGGTCCGGTCGCTCAAGTACCAGGAGATCTACGCCCAGGAGAAGGTCACCAAGGTGGACAGCCTTTCGTTGGTCCTGTCGGGGAAGTAAGTATCCGCGAACAATCTAGTTAATAGTAGGTACTACGCGGAATCGCAACCACCCAACAAGGTCAGAGTTGTTGTGGTGGATTTGATGCGTCGCCGACGTCGCAATTTTATGACGGCAGTCACACGGTATCAACTTTACGGCCATTTAGTAAATCGTTCAACAAACGAAAACAATCTACCTCTCTTGTTCAATTGAGCGAAAGTATTATTCCGACGGTGACTTCAGCTGTCACTCTCAAGCCACAAGACGAGAGAGAATGTGACGCACGTGATTGACTGTCTCAACTTTTCGCAATTTCATCCGCCGAACAAAAAATACTTTCCCCGAATCACGGTTATCACGGTTATTCCCAACTGCTCTGTGGGGTACAAGTACAAAGGCCATGCATTCGCGTAAATTGATTGCCAAAAAAATAAGGGGAGAGAACTTGATTGCGCCCCATATAAAAAAAAAATACGGCTCTAGTGCCGTAAATTTCCTAATCTACATACATATGGAACTTTCCGCTCTCGTATCTGCCGGTTCGCTTCTCGCTAATTTTGCCTCTCTCTCGCGATTCGTTATCATAAACGACTCGCATACACTCATTTCAACGGCAGCACGGACAACGACGATCACCACCACGACGGCGAAGAAGGTGGACGCGAAACTTTGGCTAATGCCGTCGTCATAATTTAGGGACCGATTAAAGCGGTAGGAGGTGTGCGATTCCAGATGGGAGGAAAATGCCGATACCCACCTTCCTTATCACATGCGTTCGCTTATGACTGTCGTTGGCCTAGGTCAGTGATTTTACTTTCACGAACCGCGAACGAATGACGATTTCAGTGACGTACGGGACGGTTGATGCGTGTGATTTGTATGTGAGTGTGTGCTTTCTGGTTTGAAGTAGTGGGTACTAAAGAGCAGCGTTGTCAGTATTCCAGATTTATCTGGATTTGCCAGATTGTTTGTCATCTTGCCAGATGCACAGGCAGAGTATGTTAATTTTTTTGCTTTTTTTTTTAAATATGGTGCCAAGCTGCTTTTCCATATCCAAGTTTGAAGCTTACTTACCTTACCAATCAGGCTAAGGCCTTATTGTCCTCTGCTGTCCGAGTAAGTCGTCTCCACTCTACTCGATTCATGGCCACACTTCACCAGCTTCGTAGCCTGTGAAGGATCCGCAGGTCACCTTCTACTTAGTCGATCCACCGCCTCTTCTTCTTGTTCCTGTTAGGTCGCTTGCCAGAACCATTTTCACTGGGTCGTCATGCGACATTCTTAGGGCGTACCCAACTCACCGTAGTCACCCAATTTTTGCAATGTGGACGTTGGATGGTCCTCCCAGCAGCTGGTGCAATTCGTGGTTCATTCTCCACGTTCCGTCATCCATCTGCACTCCACCGTAGATGCTACGGAACACCTTCCGTTCGAAAACACCAAGGGCGCGTTGGTCCTCCACGAGCATAGTCCAGGTCTCGTGGCCGTAGAGGACCACCGGTCTAATCAGCGTCTTGTAGATAGTCAACTTTGTGCGGCGGTGAATTTTATTCGACCGGAGCGTCCTCCGGAGTCCAAAGTAGGCACGATTCCCTGCCATAATGCGTCTTTTAATTTCTCTGCTGGTCACCAGTGAGCCCGAATGTGTGTGAACTCGTCGACCACCTCGATTTCGTGACCGTCAATCTGGTGGGAGGCTAACATTGTCTTCCCTAGAACCTCTTCCGGCATAGAATTTGGGAGAGTACCTTGTAGGCGGCGCTCAGCAGTGTGATCGCGCGGTAGTTGCAGCAATCTAACTTGTCGCTCTTCTTGTAGATTGGGCATACGACACCTTCCATGCACTCTTCCGGTAATATCTCCTCCTCGCAAATCTTGGCAATTTCCCAGTGCAGCGCTCAAGCCAGTGCTTCACCACCGTATATTAATAGCTCACTTGGTAGTTGATCTACACCAGTTGCTTTGTTGTTCTTCAGGCGACCCATCTCCCAATTTCTTGAAAATCAGGGGCCGGTAGCCTGTCGTCTTCTGCGCGTGCTCCAAGGTCTGTTGCCGTGCCACTTTCATTTTCTGCTCCATCACCGTTGAGTTGCTCGTCATATTACTGCTTCCACCTCTCAATCATCTCACAGTCGTTCGTGAGAAGAGTACCGTCTAAGTCCTTGCAGATATCGTAGCCTTTGCGCGAACTATTTAGCTTCACGTAGAACTTCCGTGTGTCGTTTACGCGGTACAGATTTTCCATCGCCTCGCGATCTCGGTCTTCCTGCTGACGCTTCTTCCTTTGGTAAACCGAGTTTTGTCTGTTCCGCGCTTGTCTGTATCGCTCGACATTCAATCTCGTGTGGTGTTGCAGCATTCTCGCCCGTGCTGCATTCTTCTCCTCTACTAACAGTTTGCATTCGCCGTCTAACCAGTCATTTCTTCGGTCCGGGGTCGCAGTACCTAGCGTCGCTGCAGTAGTACCAACGTAGTACTTCCTATGGCGGAACGGATGTCCCTCCAGCCATCTTCAAGATTAGCTGCGCCAAGCTGGTCTTCCGTGGGTAGTGCAACTTCCAGCTGCTGCGCGTAGTCCTGGGCAACTCCGGCGTCCCGTAAATGCTCAATGTTGGGACGCGGCGTTCGACTTCGACGGGTTTTATGCACCGTCGAGAGTTTTGAGCGCATGCATACTGCAACTAGGTATTTAGTGGTCCGAATCTGTGTTCGCACTGCGGTACGTGAGGACGTTGATAATGTCGGAGAAGAATTTCCCGTCGATTAGAACGTGATCTATTTGGTTTTGGCGGAGGTTGCTCATCGATTCTTCCGGTTCGCCTCCTAGCCTCGTGCTATAAGGTACCAGGTGGTAAACAGGGTAGTTGATCGATAGCTCGATGACGTCGTTTCGTTATTGTTTGCAATGGGAAATTCTCATAGCATGCGTTGACGATGAGATGTTGTCGAGTTGTTGATTAGCAACCATCGTGGTAACTTACCGATTACCTGTCGATCTGCCAAATTTGGAAAGACGCCTGCATTGAATTGTATCATATAATAATATTCCGCCCACTATATCACAAAAAATTGCGAGAAGCTGAGTGGAATGGAGATAAGTTAAGCATTGGGTACAGGACCAAGTGTCCCCTGGGTGGTGCCAGAAGATGAGCGCAATAAACTCATCAAGTTGGCATAAGGCACGGAATGCGACTATTTATTGCATGGCTGGGTAGTCAAAGTCCTCCATTCGTTAGTTATTTCAGGTTGGTTAGAACAGGTTTAGGTTTAGGGATTGGTTCTACGCCTAGTGGTTAGTGGTTTCTTATTGTGGTCTGTTTGTTGTTGTTGTTGTTGTTGTTGTTGTTGTTGTTGTTGTTGTTGTTGTTGTTGTTGTTGTTGTTGTTGTTGTTGTTGTTGTTGTTGTTGTTGTTGTTGTTGTTGTTGTTGTTGTTGTTGTTGTTGTTGTTGTTGTTGTTGTTGTTGTTGTTGTTGTTGTTGTTGTTGTTGTTGTTGTTGTTGTTGTTGTTGTTGTTGTTGTTGTTGTTGTTGTTGTTGTTGTTGTTGTTGTTGTTGTTGTTGTTGTTGTTGTTGTTGTTGTTGTTGTTGTTGTTGTTGTTGTTGTTGTTGTTGTTGTTGTTGTTGTTGTTGTTGTTGTTGTTGTTGTTGTTGTTGTTGTTGTTGTTGTTGTTGTTGTTGTTGTTGTTGTTGTTGTTGTTGTTGTTGTTGTTGTTGTTGTTGTTGTTGTTGTTGTTGTTGTTGTTGTTGTTGTTGTTGTTGTTGTTGTTGTTGTTGTTGTTGTTGTTGTTGTTGTTGTTGTTGTTGTTGTTGTTGTTGTTGTTGTTGTTGTTGTTGTTGTTGTTGTTGTTGTTGTTGTTGTTGTTGTTGTTGTTGTTGTTGTTGTTGTTGTTGTTGTTGTTGTTGTTGTTGTTGTTGTTGTTGTTGTTGTTGTTGTTGTTGTTGTTGTTGTTGTTGTTGTTGTTGTTGTTGTTGTTGTTGTTGTTGTTGTTGTTGTTGTTGTTGTTGTTGTTGTTGTTGTTGTTGTTGTTGTTGTTGTTGTTGTTGTTGTTGTTGTTGTTGTTGTTGTTGTTGTTGTTGTTGTTGTTGTTGTTGTTGTTGTTGTTGTTGTTGTTGTTGTTGTTGTTGTTGTTGTTGTCCTTTTTCATCTCTCGTTGTTGCTGTGTTTGTCTCTTGTGACAATAATTCTCTATTGCCCTGCCCTAGAATGGGGGGTTTGACGATAGTTTGTCGTCGTTTGCAAACGGTTTTGCTTACTGAGCAGAAGAACGTGGGTTCAATCGCAAGCTCCTTCGCGTTGTACGATCGTTAGGACATCAATTCAGCTTATCGTTTACCAAAACGAACCCTGCTGCAAACCCAACCCTCTTACCCAACATCCCTGTGATTCCTCGTGGAAGTGCAGAGGACTCCTCGGCTTCCATCAAAGCGAGTGTCACGTCAACACATTCTTACCCATTCCTTTCTTGACCTGCGTTCAGGCGCAGCTGGCGCTGGTATTTCCTAATTCGAGATCACAAGTTTTTACACATTGAGGATGATTGCTAGTCCCAAGCATTATCTATTCGTTCTCTGTGTAATTACAGCTGGTCTGGCAATAACAGAGTTTATTTGGTTTTCTGTGTATCTCCAGGAGGGTTTGTGGATATCCTTGCGGGGGCAAAAGGTACTTCGGACTACCATACCCCGAGAGGCTGCAAAGTTCACGCATCGTTAAACGTTGTCGTTCGATACGGCATGCAGGCTGTTTGGCCCGATTGCCGGTCTATACATTGCCGCCCGACTTCGAAGTTGCGTGGTTGAAGTTCGTCATAGATTAACCTATGGCAACCCGGGAAGGGATTTGCAGTTCCATGTTTCGATTCAATCGTAGTCCTTGTTTCGTCGAGTAGGTCTATGCCGATTGTTCCGATCCGTATTTACTTCTTCGGTATTTGCACCTTATGTTTTTTTTTTTTTCAGGGCGGCTTATTGGGCCTGCCCCAACCATCTGTCTTGCCGGGGGACCATCGTGCACAGCTCTGTTTCGAGTCCCACGCTGGCACTAGGACGGTGATCAGCCGCTCCTAATATGGAGAACAGACGCCGTTTTGAGTCGCACCTCCATGGTAAACAGACGCTCGGGTTTGGTGAAGCATTTCCTCTATCACTTTGCTATTGCCGGACTGGCAACATTGCCCAGGCTACGCCACCCAGCTGTGTCCATGTTTCAGCTGGTAGTCTTTTGTTATCATATGATTCGGGGAGGCGTGAAGTAGGAACTTGTGAGGACCAGAGCTAGGTATTCCGCTCCTTCCAGGTTGTCAACTCACCATTTTGTAGCCCTCACGCTTGTGATCCTGATCACTAATAGAACATCCAATCCGACCGCATTCCTCCTTCCGTTCGATGTTCAGAGTTTCGTTGTAACGTTTAATCACACGACTCACCGTTGACTGCCCGATTCCGAGTTGTTTTCCAATGTCCCGATGAGAGCGTTGAGGATTTTCCAGGTGCTTGCGCAAAATCAACTTGCTTCCAATTTTCGAAAAACTGACAGCGATAAATATACAGTGTAAACAATACACTCTAAATTACTTCTACTCAAATTTTCAAGAGAAGGTAATTTTCTACAGCGTTTTTTTCCGTGATGCAATTTGATGTGGGACACCTTTTATAATGATTAAATTTACTCTCTGCATTTTTCCCGAGCCAGAAACATTGGTTCCAAATTGAGGTTTAGGCTATTGCCCTTGATACCGTATAGAGTGTGTTTCCAAAATTATAAAAAAAAAAAAAACAATTTTCTTGTACATAGGGGAATTTACGTATTCTCGGCAACCTAAGCAGCGACCTTCTTTCTATAGCCCTTTTCTCTAAGGAACGCACACATATGCAGTATTGGTTTGTTTACAATCTTTTGCTGCCAGCTGCTCTAACAATTTCAGTCGAAAGAATTGTCAAAAACTGTTTGAAACTCTTTTACAAAGCTCCAATCTTCTCTAGTGAGAGCGAGTATTGTCGGCAACCAGTTTTTCTTCGGAAACCGTTCCATTTGAACTGCATGTAAATTTACTGTTCTATTATCGGCAACTCGAAATCAGCTACAATTTATAGTGCGTGCGTTTCATTTCAAGAAAACCTTGCTAGATTGCTTTTTCTCAGTGGTAAAAATATAGTCAAATTGAAGCTGAAAGCATAAAGAATCGTTTGCATGCATTCAGCGAAGCGTTTGCGTAAGAAAATCTAGTGAAAATAGTGTTTCAATTTGGGTTGCCGAAAATAGTCTGGCATGCCGAAGCCGTCATTTCCCCTATTTCGCCTTTTTACTCTCAAACAATTACTTATGTAATTATGTATTTCTGAAATAGCAATTACAAATTCAATATTGCCTTCTTATTGTATATGATGTAGTCTGATTATATAAGGGAAATGGCTCTTATGTTGGTCAATGGATCTAAGATAGGGCCCATCGCTAAAAATCTGCTATTTATCAATTTTATCTAGATGAACGCGTCATTGGGACGGTACTAATGGATATTTTTGGTCGCTATTGAAAATTTAGTCGATTGCTGAATTTATGAATGGGCCCAAATTAGGGACATTTAGGCCGACATTACAACCATTTCCCCTACTTCAAGAAAACATCAATGTTACCTCGTTTTACGGTACGTTCCAAAACTCATATGATTTTTTCTTCAAAACCATTTAGAATAGTTATCGAAGGACCTTTAATCAATATCCTCTTGATTTTCGCTCACAATCTTCCAAAGGGTCGCGTAAACCACTAATTAGTCACTAGTGACAGAGAGTTACCTCAGCTCACTCACCCACAGCGTCGAATAGACCTGAGTAACGGCAGTCTTTTCTACATTGGCGCTCGTTATTTTTATCACTCACTCGATAAATTAAACGGATTAAAAACCAATCAGAAACGCTTCAGAAAGTTGCATCAGATTTGTGTCGGCAGGAGGCTCGTCACATAGCTGACTCATGATGTACCGTTATCGGCTTCTCCTATCGATCAAATCAGCACCATTTTCGGATTGATTTGCCTTCCGATCTATGATTCACCTTATTCCGCAAGCCAATTGCGCTGAAGAAGCTAATTTACGTTGACACTTGCCCCACAAGAGCACCGATTATTGCGCAATTCTTGTGCATTCATTCGGCAGCACAACGCGTAATGTGCTAACCACGTTTGTCCGTTCATACTTTCAACTGGGAGGAAAGTTACATTCCCCGGTTTCCTGTGCACCGGTAGACGCAGATGTTTGTACGTAAGCACGTTTCGGAAGAAGGAAAAAAAAACGGTGGTATCTAAGAATAACCTTCAGGTTATTATTTTCGGAACGATGATGACAGAAATGTCTCTCGTCAAACCAAAAGCGCTGTTCAATGACTTTGCTTTGAGCTTCAACCGATTTATTGCGAATTTATCACACCGGAAAACCTCGGAAGTAAAAATTCATTACTGATTTCCCCTTTACTATTTCCAGGTTGGTGGTTTCCCAGAATCAAAAGGCGCTGCACATAGTCTTTCCGCACCAGTTCCTGGATTCACCCGAGTGGTTCGGAGTGTCTACGGATGACTACTTCCAGGTACAGTAATCGGTGATCATTTTCTGAAAACCAATTGTAACCCCATTTTACTTTTTTTTTTTTAGGTGTCAATTATGGCCATGGAAGAGTCCCGGGTCCTGATCTGGCACCGGGACAAGCTGAAACTGTCAATTATGGCGGAACCGTTCCTGCAGGCGGTGTTCGATCACATCCTCGGCCGGGACGTCGTCAAGAAGCTGATGCAGGTGACGCAGGTTGGTGGGGGGATGATGGGGTGCCGTGTTAAAGTTGAAGATGAATGCGAACCCGAGCAAAGTTAGAGATCAAATTGAAATCAGAATTTGCTGTTATGATGTAACTTACTTTGAATACTCCATTTGATCTCATTTTGGTTGACTTAACGGTTAACACATCAAAAATGAGAGCAAAATTTTACACTGTTGAAGCAAACGGAGAACTAATCCTGCTTTCAATGAAATCAATTTGATTACTGATTTTGCATTCATAATGTTTGACTGAATACGGGCCTGGTGTAAATGGTTAGCATCCAAGCTTCTCACGCTGAAATACTTGAGCTCAAATGTCACCTCGGGTTGGTTGCGAATGACCTAAAATGTGTTAAACAAAACAATTAAACAATAATCGTTAGTTCAACGACAGATAAGCTTAACTTAAATCTTAAACAAGACGTTAACAGCAGAACTTCAAGTTAAGTTGCTTTCATTTAAAATGTCTTGACTGCATAATGAAAGCACAATATGATATCAGACTAATGTCGTGACAATTGAAATCAAAATGAGTATTCATTATGATAGGAACTGCAATCTTTAATATCGATTTGCTTTCATTTTGTTAACCGACTTTGCTCGGGAATGCTGTTGACATTCTCAAATTCATGGTAGATACACAGGTGTCCTCCTATTTTTTTGGCGGTCATTGCTCTAGGAGAGATTGCTCTTACTTCACGAGTGCACCGATGAATTCAGAAGGGCCTAAACCTAAAATGAAGTGCCGCTTATCCATTTTTGTTCGTGGTTGGTGGGCTAGATTTTCTTCCTATAATAGAAGAACTAGTACAGAAATTGTTAGAATTGTTTTCACAAAAATCGGTTGTAATGTCAGAAAGCTATAGCTCACAATGTCAAACCGTATTGGGAATATAGAATGCGAGGAAATTTGCACTCGATGCATTTTACTATCAAGCGCGCTCTAGTCTAGCAAATGAAGGAAGAGGCTGAGTATCCTCTTTTATAGGCACAGCCTTGATCTTACTTGGTTGGTGATCAACATAAAATTAAAAAAAGTTGTAAGTTAATTAGATTGAGTGGAAGCAATAAAAATTCCGTGTGATTGTGCCGTGAAAAGTAGTTCTGTATTGTTCAAGTGAATTTGGTTTGGTACGTAGATGACCAATTGACCGAGTGCTGATGATTTGCTGCTGAAAAATAGGGTCCTTACAAGGCCGAACTACTTTTCACGGCACAATCACACGGATTTTTATTGCTTCCACTCAACCTAATTAACTTACAACTTACTCGAATTCTCCCGGAACTCCAACCCGATGGCAAAACCGAATTTCTTAGCTTGGATCCTTCTTCCTGGCATAATGCATTCCAACGTCATAGACCTCCGAGAGCTTCTAGGACCGGAATCATCACCTTCAGCAGTTCCTCTTCTAGATTGAGCAGAAAGGTGAATCGTTTCCGTCGGATTGAACAGCAATGTTCGGACGACATCAGAGCAGTAGGACTTGTAACGGGCACCCAGAGCACAGATGATCGATCCGAAGTGCTGATATTTCTTGTCACACTGAACTTCAAGCTGTAATTGCCACCCGACTGGATAATCGCCGTGTACACATGTCCAACTAATTGGTATCCACACCGGAGACTTATCTGCATCGATAATCACCATGATGTGATCCTTGAGGTACTTGTTGAATACGTCTACCGTCACCAGGCAGGTCTTCTTGATGGTGATAACCTCGGAGTCCTCCTTGGAGCACATGATGTACCCGATTGGGACGCTGATGTTCACCGTGTTGAAGCTCTTGTCCTTGACAAAGGCTCGCCACGATTTACAGAATTCACCCGGGAAGTTATCCTTGAAGAAGACGCCCAACGTTTTGCCATCCTTGGATCCCTTGATCGCCTCCAGCAGCTTTTAAAAATTAGCCTTGTCTTTGTCGTTCTTATCCCGAACCAACAGCCTCACCGACGGAATGCCCTCCTCATCGTCCTTCTCGATCTGCTTCAAGTCAGGAAAAAGCTTGACTTTTCGTACAGCACTATAATCGTATCATTCAGCTCGTATCCCAGCAGCCAGGTCTGCAGCAAGGTGGATTTGCTGTAGATGGTTTCCTCGTCTACGCTGACCGCCATCAGAATGCTATCCACCTTCTGCAGCGAATCATCATGGAAAAACTCTGGCTCCTTCCAGTTGGCGTAGGGCCGTTTTATTCGTCGGTAAAAGGAATCCTTATCGAGCACGATATTCCACATTTTTGGGGCCGTTGCGATTGCAAACCAAAATATTAAAGCTGTCCGAAATACCGGGTTGCCCAAGGGGTAGGTCACTCCGGACACCAATCTTGGGTCTTATTTTCTGTCAGTGTGCCACAAGTATGCTGATTGTGCCGGTCATAGAGCAAGCTGCGATTGTTGGTTTGGTTGGTTTGAAATCGCAAGGATAAATCGCTTTGAGGATGACTTGGGAAGAGACGGGTGTGCAAAATGTAGGATAATAAAAGTTCTGTGTTTTAGGGTTTTATAATGCCTCAAATGCAGACCAGAAAAAATGGTCTCCGTGCCAAGCGCAGTGCGTGAAGAATCAGAATGCCATCGAGTTTTCCGGAAGCAGCAGCAGCGAAAATAGAGAAGCACTACGTCGACGACTACTTCGACAGCGTCGATACAATCGAAGAGGCCATCACTAGAGCGACGGAGGTGAGATATGTTCACTCGATGGGAGATTTTCAGCTTAGGAACTGGGTGTCGAAACGCGTGATTGGTTGGTAGCCGATCAACGCGAGGATTTGCAAGTTGAGGATTAAGGGCCGTATCTTCAACTACAGCATTATCAACGTGCACGTTTTATGCGCAGCTGGAGCAGGTGTACGACGGCTGTTCGCAATGGGACGTCAAAATCGTCATCGGCGACAGCCCGGCAATCGAGCCAAATATCCTGCATGCCGTATCGAACGACAACGGCCAACGTGTGCGAACATAGATTCGGACCACTACCTAGTTGCAGTATGCATGCCCTCAAAACTCTCGACGGTGCATAACACCCATCGAAGTCTAACGCCGCGACCCAACATTGAGCAATTACGGGACGCTGGAGTTGCCCAGGATTACGCACAGCAGCTGGAAGTTGCATTACCCACGGAAGAGCAGCTTGGGGCAGCAACTCTTGAGGATGGCTGGAGGAATATCCGGCAGTGGCACTAGGTGCTGTGATCCCGTACCGAAGAAACGACTGGTTTGACGGCGAATGCAAACTGTTAGTAGAGGAGAAGAATACAGCACGGGCGAGAATGCTGCAGCGCCGCACGAGATTCAATGTGGAGCGATACAGGCAAAACTCAGTTTTTCGAAGAAAGAAGCGGCAGCAGGAAGACCGAGATCGCGAGGCGATGGAAAATCTGTACCGCGTAAACGACACACGGAAGTTCTACGAGAAACTTAATACTTTGCGCAAAGGCTACGTGCCGCAAGCCGATATGTGCAAGGACTTGGACGGTAACCTACTCACGAACGAGTGTGAGGTGATTGAGAGGTGGAAGCAGTACTATGAGGGGTACCTCAACGGTGATGCAGCAGAAAACAAAGGTGACACGGTAACAGACCTTGAAGCACGCGCAGAAGACGACAGGCTACCGGCCCCTGATCTTCAAGAAGTTGAGGAGGAGATCGGTCGGCTGAAGAACAACAAAGCAACTGGTGTAGATCAACTACCAAGTAAGTTATTGATAAACGGTTGTGAAGCACTGGCTAGAGCGCTGCACTGAGTAACTGCAAGATTTGGGAGGAGGAGATATTCCCGGAGGAGTGGATGGAAGGTGTCGTATGCCTAATGTACAAGAAGGACGACAAGTTGGATTGCTACCGCGCGATCACACTTCTGAGCGCCGCATGCAAGGTACGATCCCAAATTCTATGCCGTCGTCTGTCACAATTTGCAAGAGAGTTCGTGGGGAAATACCAGGCGAGATTCATGGGTGCCTGTGCTACCAAGGACAGGTTCTGCAGAAATGCCGCGAAAACAACGTGCCCAGCTATGGCAGATTATGCACGAGTACGGATTTCCGGATAAACTGACGCGATTGGTCAAAGCGACGATGGATCGAGTGATGTGCGTTGTTCGAGTATCGGGGCACTCTCGAGTCCCTTTGAGTCCCGAAGGGGGTTATGGCAAGGTGATGGACTTTCGTGTCTACTGTTCAACATCGCGTTAGAAGGTGTGACCAGAAGAACTGGGATAGACAGGAAGTCCATCCAGTTTCTTGGCTTCGCCGATGACATCGACATGATGGCACGGAACTTTGAGACGATGGCGGAAACGTACATCAGACTGAAGGCTGAAGCTAGGCGGATTGGACTTGCCATCAACGCATCGAAGACGAAATACATGAGAGAAAAAGGTTCTAGGGAAGATAATGTTAGCCTCTCACCCCGAGTTCAGATTGACGGTGACGAAATCGAGGTGGTCGATGAGTTCGTATATTTGGGCTCACTGGTGACCGCCGAAAATGATACCAACAGAGAAATTCAAAGACATTATGGCAGGGAATCGTGCCTACTTTGGATTCCGAAGGACGCTCCGGTCGAATAAAATTCCCCGTCGCACAAACTTGACTTTCTACAAGACGCTGATTAGACCGGTGGTCCACTACGGCCACAAGACCTGGACTAAAGGGTGATACGGTCAAAATTTGGTCAATATCAACTTGACGTATTTCTTTCAATTTTGCATTTAAAAAACCTGAACACCCCTCATTTTGAAGGTGTGTGTGTGTAGAATGTTGCTCCTATTTTGATTTTGGAATTCACTCTTCAGTTGTCAAAATGCCGTCCAAGCAAGAAGAGCAGCGTATCAAAATTTTGCTCGCGCATCGCGAAAATCCGAGCTACTCGCACGCAAAGTTGGCAAAATCGCTAAAAGTTGCCAAATCAACCGTTACAAATGTAATTAAAGTGTTTGGAGAACGTTTGTCGACAGCCAGGAAGTCTGGATCGGGGGAAAATCGAAAACCGGAAGCCGCTGAGACGACAAAGAGAGTTGCCGGTAGTTTCAAGCGAAACCCTAACCTCTCTCTCCGAGATGCCGCAAATAAGCTGGGTGTATCGTCTACAACCGTGCATCGAGCCAAAAAACGAGCCGGACTATCGACTTACAAGAAGGTAGTGACTCCAAATCGCGATGATAAACAAAATACGACGGCCAAAGCGCGATCCCGGAGGCTGTACACGACGATGCTGACGAAGTTTGACTGCGTGGTAATGGACGACGAAACCTACGTCAAAGCCGACTACAAGCAGCTTCCGGGACAGGAGTTTTATACGGCAAAAGGAAGGGGAAAGGTAGCAGATGTTTTCAAGCACATGAAACTGTCAAAGTTCGCAAAGAAATATCTGGTTTGGCAAGCCATCTGTACCTGTGGCTTGAAAAGCAGCATTTTCATAGCTTGCGGGACTGTCAACCAAGAAATTTACGTGAAAGAGTGTTTGAATAAACGTCTGCTGCCTTTCCTGAAGAAACACGGTTGTTCCGTACTGTTTTGGCCGGATTTGGCATCTTGCCATTACGGTAAAAAGGCCATGGAGTGGTACGCCGCCAACAACGTGCAGGTGGTTCCCAAGGACAAGAACCCTCCCAACACGCCAGAGCTCCGCCCAATTGAGAAATACTGGGCTATTGTCAAGCGGAACCTAAAGAAGACCAAAAAAACTGCTAAGGGCGAGCAGCAGTTCAAGGCAAACTGGCTTTCTGCGGCGAAGAAGGTGGACAAGGTGGCTGTACAAAATCTGATGGCAGGGGTCAAGCGTAAGGCCCGGCAATTCGGATTTGGAAAAGCGGAAGCCTAACTGAATATTTTTCCTGAATTTTATACTAATTGAACTTGAAAAAGAAATTTAATTTGATTTTTTAAATAAACGATTTCGCCGATTTACACGCGTTTTCCCTTGACCAAATTTTGACCGTATCACCCTTTATGCTGGTGGTGTTTTCGAAAGGAAGGTGTTCCATAGCATATACGGTGGAGTGCAGATGGATGACGGAAAGTGGAGGAGGTGAATGCACCACGAATTGCACCAGCTGCTGGGAGAACCATCCATCGTCCACATTGCATAAATTGGGCGACTACGGTTGGCTGGGCACGTCTTAAGAATGCCGCACGACGACTCAGTGAAAATGGTTCTCAACTGGAACAAGAAGAAGAGGCGCGCAGCGCGCTAGATGAATTGACCAAGTAGAAGGCGACCTGCGGACCCTTCGCAGACTATGAGGCCGGCGAAGTGTGGCCATGGATCGAGTAGAGTACAGACGACTTCTTCGGACAGCAGAGGACAACAGGGCCTTAGCCTGATTGATAAGGTAAGGTATGTAAGTAACTGGATGTCGCACTCCGGAGCGTTTTCTATGAACTGGGAGAAGTCTGGCAAAACAAGTCGGTACATTTCAATCAGGATAAGGAAAGCGGAACTGCTAGAATGTTAACGTCCTACGAAGAGAATTCTCGATGAACATTTCAAAAGGTCCTATCTGCCTTGATCGATTCTCTTCATCGACTTTCTTTTTGGATAACCACTGCTATGCAAATAGAATTTGCGCTATTTTTACCATATACCTAGTTTGATAAAAGAGGTTCTCATCTAGCGTCCTCAACGTTATATACAACAGGGCAAGTTTTTGCAGCTGAGTTATTAACGAAAGAGAATGTCGATGAAGAGAATCGATCAATGCAGATAGGACAATTTGAAATGTTTATCTAGAATTTTTCTGAGCTGCGTGATGGGAATCATTGCCCATACCTAACAATTATGCCAGGTTTAATGCAAATCGGAGAAGGTCGAGTTTTCCTTTCGATTCGTTATTTGACGTGTATTAGCAATTAGCAAAAAAAAAAAAACTCTATCATGGCGCCTCTCGGCGGGACTTTGTATGGGTCAATTTGTTATGTTATGAGCAGAGTTGCGACCTATCACAATCACCATCATCAAACAGCTGATGGTAGTAACGCTTTGTACATTCCTATGTGCTCGTCGAAGCTCTCTCCATGACCATCCATCAAGTTGACGAAAGAAGTAAAAAGCAACTGGTGAATCTCGTCTTCTGTTGTGATCCATCACCGATCTGGTCATTCCTGACAATCACGACACTCATCTGTGCTCGTTTTAAAGCAGTTGCTGCTTTGCTTGCTTATGTGAGTGTGTTGGTTAGAGAGCCCAGCAGCTTCCGTTTAATGTTGCCTGCTTTGTTTGTAACTCACACACTCGTGCCTGCCGAGACGAACTTGAAATGCGAAGGCATTGTTTTCATTTTCTTCTGTCGTTTCGCTTTTTCTCATGATCGTACTGCAGAAGTCTTCACTGTTTTCGTTGTGCTGTTCATTATCAGCAGCGATTGTAACGTTTTGCTTGTGAGCAGCGACCATTACTGGTGATTGTTGTTTGCCATGGCTCTAACTCTCACTGCGTGACAAAACGATCTGTAAGCGATAGTCGGTTGATGCGAAGACGAGTGTCACGTGAATGTCATGATATTTTTCATCACTGGTTATGAGATCGAAAAAAAAATATCGCTGTGCTCAGAAAACGAAGCTCTTGCAGATGATGCACAATAACTGATATAGGGGAAATGAATGTAATGTCGGCCTAAATGTCCCTTATTTGGGCCCATATATAAATTCAGCAATCGACTAAATTTTCAATAGCGACCAAAATTATCCATTAGTGCCGTACTAATGACGTGTTCATCTAGATAACATTGATAAATAACAGATTTTTAGCGATGGGCCCAATCTTAGATCCACAGGCCAACATTAGAGCCATTTGCCCTTTTTTCAAAATTATAAACAAAATGAAAAACTTGTTAAAGTGACCTGGGGTAAAATTGACCCCAAGATACAGACAAAGGGTTATAGTAGATAGATCACACCTTTTCTAGTGAATTCAAGTTTGAAAACTAGATATGCAAATTCAGCGAATATTAACCTTATTTTTTTCAATTGTCATCCCCTTTCGAACAGGTCAGCGAAACGATGGCCCAGAGCAATGGGTACATCTCGTCCGGCTACGGCGAAGATGCCGAGGACAAACCGATGCTGGTGATGAAGAACAGCAAATCCAGCGACAACGGAGGCCACGGCCTAACGGCGCTCATCAACCGGCAGCTGCAGGGTAAGTCCCGGCGCCACTCCATCCGCAATCGGCGCTTTTTGGCTGACTTGTCCTCAAATACTCCATACTTAGGCTACGGGTGCTTTGTTCGAGTTTCGCGTTTAGTTGGATTGGATTAGCTACCTAACATAGTTCGATCAATCGCTGCCGATTGGCTTTCTTTAGTTCTTTAGGTTCTGGAAAAACATTTTCTCAATTTAGCGTTTATCGGAAAGCATAAAAAAACTGAAAGCAGCCAGATTAGAGAATCTTGTGTTTAGCGTTTAATGAATTTTATTGAATGTTTTTTAAATTCTAGATCACCTAAAAAAAATTAGCGATTTTTAAAGTTAAATTAGAATTCACTATCAAACATCACTCATCATTCGCTTAACCCATTTAGTGCTGAAAGTTTCGTTTTACCCCGTATAATCTAGCTCTGAATTAAAACTGAGCTTACTTACCTGTCTCTCGCCTGATTTATTGAAAACTTAATTTTAGTTCAACCTACATTTGTTTAATCGTTCTTTTTTCTACTTTCCTCTCGCATTTTTTTCCACGAAACTTCTTCCCCTTCTGCATCGTCACATCACGCACGCTTTTTACTTTGGTTTACAATCAATCACCCGAAAACCGACAAACAAACAAACAAACAAACTCACCTTAAAACAACGTCAGAGGAGAGCGTCCCCCTGCTGCTGAATCCGGCCAACCCGACGCCGCTGATGTCCCTGCACATGCGCCTACTGCATTCGGTCGAGAACAAATTCATCAAAAAGATCTACGACGTGTGACGACCGGACCGGATGCCGCCATGGCAACTGGCGACCGCCAACGAACGAAAACCGGATCGGCGCAGAATATGAGAAAAAAACAATCAACGAATGTTACACACATTTTGTCTAGTCCTTTAAATTTTGGTGTTTTAGTTTCGTGTCTTTTGCGTTCTTATCCTTTTTTTTAATTTTTGTAAAACCTCAAACATCGAACCAGCGGCAACCGAAGCGGCAATGAAGCAGCAACGATTTTTTACACAAATCTACTTGTTTTTTTTTATTTGCTGCCTGTTTTTGAATCCGCTATTTTTCGGTAAGTTTTGCCTACTTTTACACACCACTTTTCCCGGTTTAACACAGTTTAAGACTGCAACTCTTTCTCACTAACTTTTTTCACTTGCTTTTGATTTTTCTACAAAAAAAACATGTTTTAAACGTTAACCAAATAAAATGCCAATTCGCGTCCAAACCGAGCGGGGATCGGTTCCTCAACGCCAGCGATAGCAAATAACCTCCGGAACTAACTGTTACTCATACCATCTTTCTCTCTTTCTCTCGTTTCATTGTCTTCCTTCTCTTCCCAAAACGAAAAAAAAAAACTCAATAACCAAAACATTCCCCGATTTTTCTGTGTGTCACCATCAATCCAAACCACCAAATGCAATTTTGTCCTTGCGAAAAATCCTAGCCCTGCCTAGGATATCCAAATATTACTACTGTGGTAAGTTTCCGTAAGGTCTGCCAATTGCGTGATCTTTGCATATTTTGGCTTGATTCTTGATTTTCGGTTTTACTTCAAATTTAAAGTACACACAAAATTCATCCTTATTCGAATTTGTCCAAATTTCTGTGCACATTTTCGGTTTTTGCAATCATCGATTTATCGATTTTTTTTCCGTTTTCATTCATTCAAGTAATTGGTGTTTAAATGTTATGAAAATCTAAATCACGCCATGTCTTTATTTGGGTTGCGTTTCTAGTTCTGCTTGTTAAGATGAATTAGTGAATACATCATTTTCGGCAGATAAAATACTCTAATTATTAATTGAAGTGTTGTTAAATTACATGTGTATAAAATGAATGCATCCTATAGGTTTAGCGTAATGTGTAACTTTTCCTCCCTTCGCAGCTTATTTTCAAATAACTATGAATGTAATTTATTGACGGAATGTATCACAGCCAGGGGTGAGAGGTGGCTGTCAAATACGAACAATCGTCGCCTACCTCGTAAAACGGGTTCTTCTTCTTCTGCTTCTTCTTCTTCTTCTTCAATCCTTTATTTAACGTCGGTCTCTGTTCCGCAATCTAGTGCCAATCACCGACGGACATCGATAGCCATCCATTGACGGCAATCGAATGTGCAGGAAGGCAGCTTCCACACACATGGGCCGGGACCAACGGCTTTACACACTTAGAAATTTTCGAGGACTTCGGTAATTTTTACAGAAATCTGAACAGCTGAACTGTTCGGTAAAATTGATGCAATTTAATTCAATTGCTTTTTTTTCCTTGATTTGTTTTCCGTCGATCTTGTTTTCCGTGCTGAGCACCAATGCTACCGACGTGCCAGGAAGGCAGCTCCCACACCTGGACCCTACCTATCGACCCATCAACTCATGAACCGGGGACCAACGGCTTTACTTCCCATCCAAAGGAAGGCATGATCAGAGATGTTATGCCTCAGAACATCCCGGCGGCGCCGACTGGGATTGAACCCAGGCCTGCTGGGGTGAGAGTTAATCACGCTTACCACTACACCACCGGCGCCGCTAATTCAACTGCTTTTCAGTTACTTTGAAACTAAATCTACACTAAAATGACAAGATTTGATCGTTTAGACAAGGTTGAACATGTTTTGAAATTATTTGTGTAATTCAATGGACTTTAAAATGAAGGTCAAAGTTTTACCGAACGTTCAGCTGTTCTGATTTCGGTAAAATTTACCGAACACGAAAACAAAATCTTAGTGTGTACTTGCCTTCCGAAGGAAGACGTGACCATGGTGGGTATATACATGGTGATACAGCTTTTTCACTTTATAGACGAGGAGGTCGCGGGGGGAAAAGTGCGGTTTTAGAGCAAATTGTAAACAAACTCGATCGCTGTCTCATACAATAATCCAACATGGCTGAATCATGAATTTAACACCTATATGTAGTCACCTTAGACGCCATATTGAATGATGAACTTTCCGAGCACTTGTAAGTTGCGGCTTACCTACCAGCCTATAGCTGGCCTCGAGCAAGAGTACTTCCCCCAAAGACGTTCGGATTTGGGTGAAACAAAACAACAAAAAGAAAATGTAATTTTAAACGTCTATTCGCTACTTATCTTCTCATCCTCGCTGCTGCCGCTGCTGTTCGCGGTGGGGCCCTTCGACGACAGTATGGCGGCGGTTCTGCTACAAAGCACGGATAGTGCTGCGGTGACACCTACTTCAGTGGTCTTTGACATTTAGCGGGGAGGGGGGTTGATCCGTGCTCGTCTGTTGGACCCCCCCCCCCCACAACGTTGGTGACGAATCACCGGATTGCCTACACGCCATAGGCAACCCCGGTAGACACCGTAGTGTTTCTGCCCAGATGTACTCACCTCTAGTACCGCCTGCTTCGTCCTCCCGCGTCAACCGATTAACTGTGGTGGCGAGACTGGCTCTATTTACTGAGCCACCGCAGTCAGGACGACGAGTGTCTACCGGTTCCTTTGTGGATAGCCGGGGAAGCGATTAGCTCAATAGGATAAGCTTCCCACAATGGCGATCCGACACTCTGTTGCACTCATAACTTTCACGGCCACGGAGACGACTTTCACTCGCGGTGTACAAACAAATCATGCGGACTGGCACTCGCGTCGCGGCTGGATAAATTTTTCTCGGAACTAACGGAAAAAAACGTCTCCGAAAAAAAAACCCGCATAGACTCCACCATGGCTCGAATTGTTCTCGTCTTCGCAACGTCACTGTTGGGACCAGTCTTGTAAGCGGTCACGGTAGTCGACACATTTTCTGTGATAATTGACTGCCTTTGTCTCCGACACTTGCAAAACAAGCTATCATAGTACAGTACCAAACTAAAATGTCGTATGACAGGCTCTGTCATACGACACTGTCGCCGAAGACCGTCACGAATGTATGTATTTTAGTTTTTCTTATAATAAGAGCTGCTGATGGTGTGCTTGTGTGAATTCTGAAAATAGCAAGCAATGATGTCCTAGTAATAATATTTCTGAACACAAATGGTTTGATTTACACCAATTTGAGGAATTACAACGAAATCACACATGTCATATGATAACTATTTTGATAATTTTCTTTTAGCTCGAATGTTATTCTACCGCTCGTGTTGTGTGAGAGAGACGACGGTAGAGCATGAGTGTTCGAATACAAACAGACTGTCGCGCACGACAACGAAGCGAGTGTAGTAAAAAACGTCAACTGTTTCAACCCCTGGTTGGGACCCAGCGTTGCCAGATGGTTTCCAAGCTTATCGGTATCAAATGTTTAAAAAATCGGTATTTATCGGTATTCACTATTTTTATTAATTTTATATTTTTGCCTTTTTGTAGGCGAAAATTAAAACTTTTGGACTAAGAACGAAGTAGTACGTCGGAAGAAATTTCCGGGAATATTTGAATAAGTCTCTTATTGATATCGAAAAAACTTCCGGAGAAAGAATAAAGAAGATCTTGTGGTGGAAGTTTGCAGAAAATTCTAAGAAATGTCGGAAAAATATCCGATGAGGATCATCCAAGACAAATATAGAGAAACTTCTAGTGAAAACTTTAGAAACTTTCGGAAAAAAAAACCAGAAACACACGCAGAGAAAACCAGAAAAGATTTGGAAATTGGAAGGCAATTCCAGGAGAAGTCATAAGAAGCTCGGAAAAACCTTCCAACAGAAGTAGGAAAAAATGACTTATGAAGATGAAAGAAACTTCTGAGAGAACTTCCTGTAGAAGATGGAAGAAACTTTTTGGAGGCGCTGGGAGAAACTTTGTACGGTAGATTGGAAGAAACTTCTGGAAAAGGCAAAAGCCAGAGAGCGCAAGATACTTCAAGGGGAAGCGAGGAAAAAATCTGGAAGAAATAGATTTCTGGGCGATGGCGATGTTAGCAACATTCCCTGAAGTTCCTTAAATGCTCAAATGATCCAGCAGTATTTCGGATATTTATAAAACATCCCTGAAACCCCACAATTTCTCTGATACTTTCAGAACATTCCTGAAATGCACTTCGGAATATCCCTTTATTCCTTGGAACTCCTTGAAAGTTCTTGCAATTTTCCAGAAGTTAATGGGGCTGTTTTGAAGTTTACAAAGTTTTCATGAACCTCTCGGATCTTTGCTGAAGTTTTTGAAAATTCCCTGAGTTCCTCGGAACTCCTTTAAAGGTTAAGACATTTTCATTAATTGATGTGTCCTGATGTTCTCAGAGCATTCCTTAAGTTATCTCAATTCTCCTGAAACAAATAGAAGTGTTCTGAAAACCATTTAATTTCCATGGAGTTTTTCTGGACTTGTGAAGTTTCTAAAATATTTCAGATGTTTCCTTTAGTTCACTGGAGTTCTCTGGACTTTCCTGAAATTCCCGGGTTCTCGAATTTTAACAGCTGTTACTGAAACTGCCTTTAATTTATCGGAACTTACCACTCTTACATATCTTTAAACTTACCCAAAAGTCCGAACAATCGAACCCTTGGAACTATGATAAAGCTCTGGAAGCATTTCTGAAGTTCCTGGGAAGTTGAAAAAACTGACGGAATAAGACGAAGTAGAAGGCGACCTGCGGACTCTTCGAGACTACGAGGCCATGCTCGATCCATGGAAAGTAGAGACGACTTCTTCGGACAGCAGAGGACAACAAGGCGTTAGCCTGATTGGTAAGGTAGAGGAGAAGGCGAAAGAACTTTTCAAGGGCAGCCAGAAGAAGCTTCCAAGGGAAGTCGAAATAGATTTCCGGAAGGAATTGTAAAATAATTTACAGGGTAAGGTGGACGAAAATTCCTAGGGAAAGTTGGAAGAAACTTTGAAGAGAATACAAGAGAAATTTCAGGAAGTTGAAAAATTAACATTTTGATGGATTTATTTGTTCACTAAACAAAAGTATTTCCCGATTTACAGGAAATACCGGGATACGCCATCAGCTATTTCTCGACCCCTTGGTAGCCAAAAAAGGTGAGGAAAAAGAAGCATTAGTCGAAAGAGTACCAAGCATAAGAAATTTTTAAAGAAGAATTTTTTTAAAGCTGGCTCAAAAATTTAATGTTCAAAAAGATAAAAGCCTCTCACAATAGATTCAGCGCGGGTGTGCAGTAATCATTTTGATTATTTATAAAAAAAAATCGGTATAAAAACTTAAAAATCGGTATTCTGAGAAACCTTAACTGTACATCGGTATCAAGTTTGAAAATCGGTATATCTGGCAACGCTGCTTTGGACCAACTCTATTTTTTTTATCATTTTTCGGCTGGGCTCACAGATGGCAGTCAAGCTGCCATCAACGTCGATGCCGTGACAGCACCAACCAGCGTTGCCAGATATACCGATTTATCGGTATTTATACCGATTTTCAAACTTGATACCGAAAAACAGATAAGGTTTCTCATAATACCGAATTTTGAGTTTTAATACCGATTTATACCGATTTTTTCATTAATAACCATAACCATAACTGCCTGCCCGCACTGAATTGTCAGAGGAAACTATTGTGAGAGACTTTCATCT